CCCCTTGGGCAGCTTGGACTCCCCCGGGTATGTGACACATATTCAATATTTTATATTCCTTTATCTCACTGTCATTTTTTTCACTCACCCAAAAAGATTCCTGTAGTAGTTTAGAGGGGGTGTCATGCCTCCTTTCTGAGACAGATAATATATAAAAGCCTCGGTTTCTTCATTGGTGAGTCTCCGCTGCTTATTCTGGATCCCCATCAACTCATCCACCAGAGGCCTCCTGATATACTGTAGGAGAGGACACATGTCAGTCACACTGCTACTGTTGTGTCACTCAAAATAATCACAGAGTGAGATGCAGTGAGCAATAAATACAAAGACTATAATATACAAGAACATAATACTGCCTGTATCCTATACATATAGAGGGCAGCTACACCCAGACCCATTTATGGGGGTTTCTGGTGAAACCTGGGGGCTTGTCACTGTAGATGCTGTCACTCAGAGAAGCCCATACCTACCAGGGGTAAGACAGAGGCACCATATATCCCTGAAAACAGAATGAACATTGGTTCAGCCCACATTATGGTTGACTTCATGGTTTAAAGAAAACCTGTGCTGTGAGGAATATGTAGGTTGCCATTAAAGAACTCAGAGCATTTAAAAAAATGAACCCATGCAATGGGGCTAACCCCGCACTGCAAGGGTTAAGTGCTCGTTTTGGCCTAGGGTCTAAAATAAAGAAGATGCACTCACCTGATCCTCGGTACTGCTGCGGTAATCGCTCACCTCTCTCTCCATCCTCTGTGGCGCGTCCTCACGTCTCATACAATTAGTGAATAGATGTGATGATGACAGCAGTGCTTAGACCACTGAAGCCAGGGGGAGAAGAGGCTGCGGGCACCGGTCTAGCATCCTTATGGACCATCGGGTGAGCAAATCTTTTTTTATTCTGCACCCTAGACCAAAATGAGCACTTAACCCTTGAAGTACCAGGTTAGCCCCACTGCAAGGGTTAATTTGTTAAATTACTCCTCACCAATGAAACCACAAAGCTGCTCATCCACTCACTTGTTATCTCTCGTCTCGACTATTGTAACTCTCTCCTCATTGGCCGACCCCTACACAGGCTCCTCCCCCCTTCAGTCTATCATGAATGCTGCTGCCAGACTTATCCACCTAACCAACCACTCAGTATCTGCAACCCCCCTCTGCCAATCCCTGCACTGGCTTCCATCCCCCGCCCCCTCTGCCAATCCCTGCACTGGCTTCCACTCGCCCAGAGGATAAAATTCAAAATATTAACAATCACTTATAAAGTCACCCACAACTCTGCCCCCGGATATATCTCAAACCTGGTCTCAAAGTATCACCCTCACCATCCCCTCCGCTCCTCCCAAGACCCCTTGCTCTCTAGCTCCCTTGTCAACTCCTCCCATGCTCACCTCCAGGACTTCTCTAGAATATTCCCCATTCTGTGGAACTCTTTAACCCAACCTGTGCGTCTATCTCCCACTCTGACTGCCTTTAGGCGATCCCTTAAGACTCATCTCTTCAGGGAAGCCTATCCCACCTCAACCTAACCACTGAACCATCACATTCTCATACAATTCATCCTCACACAGCTACCTCCTCATGTATCACTGGCCCCTCCCTTTTAGGTTGTAAGCCCTCAGGGGCAGGGCCCTCCGTACCATCTTGTCTTGAATTGTAAAGCGCTGCGCAAATTGTTGGCGCTATATAAATACTATGTAATAATAATACTAAATGACCGGAGTTGTTCTTTAAATACATTGCCATTCGTATTTTGCAATTTGTGTCAAACATTTTCTCTGCCTCTATCCAAATTGCCCAAAAAATGTTGAGAACAAGGCGTTGGATACAAATTTTTGTTTGGTCCGTTAAATGATCATTGGGCACAACAGCTCCGTTTCGGCGGCTCTCCACACAGCGAGTTCAACCCTTGAGAATGACAACCTAGAGTAGTGAACGCAAAGATATACAGTCTAATGGGAGCACCAAAACAAACATCTATGAGTCCAAAATCTTTTCCTGATACAAAATGATTCACAGAAGGAAAACATAAAACAGTCAACGTTTTTCCGGGGTCAAACATCTGCCCGTATCTTCAGGGCTCTAGTTGAAAAGCGGTGGAAAGATGCAATATTCACCAGGGAAAATGTTTAATGGTGTGAATGTCACAGAACTCCTTGGACCTGTGTAGCAGGTTTTTATACTACACGGATCCAAAGTGTTCTGTCACTTTCACACCATTAAAAAGTTTCACGGTATAAGTTTCCCAGGGACCAGAGCAGCTCCGGGAGGCACTGTGGAGTGGGGACCTGATCCTGCAGTTCCAGTGCTCACCTGCATGTGTCTGCCAGCAATTAGTCGCCACCTGGTGCTGCTCTGGGAGGGTATTTAACCTTTCCCTGCAGTGAGGCCTGTGCCTCAGTATTGTTGCCATATCCTGTAACCAGCATCCTGTTTCTGCCTTGGACCCTGATTCCTGACCCTCCAGTATCCTGTTTCTGCCTTGGACCCTGATTCCTGACCCTCCAGTATCCTGTCTCTGCCTTGGACCCTGATTCCTGACCCTCCAGTATCCTGTTTCTGCCTTGGACCCTGATTCCTGACCCTCCAGCATCCTGTTTCTGCCTTGGACCCTGATTCCTGACCCTCCAG